AACAGCCTTTAGTGTGCTTAGTGGCACAATTGTCATCTTCCTTTGGCACAAGATGAGAACTGGCCTCGAAGCATTCAGCACATGGTAGCATGTTCTGCATGTAGTGGAAGCACACTGTCGTAAAACGAACAGCCAGTACTCTGTAAAGGTGATTTGATGCATACCCAAGAATTCTCTGCTTGGGAAACTGTAGGGTGTTCTTTAAAATAAAAGTCTGTCACTCACCAAACAGTGGGTGGATAATGCCAGCGTGGCACTCCAAGTCTTCCTCAGAGTCAATATCAAGTTCAATAGGGTGCAGAGCATGTAATACTAAGGCTCTGAAGAACTGGAGGGCTACTTGAATGACATAGCAGCCACGCCCTAGGGTGGACCTGCAATTCACACAGCCACAAGAGCCCCCGAAGTTAATCGAATTAGCGCACAACTACAGATTTCGGAGTCTTAATACCGTACCCCAAATTTATGGCGGGCACACTAATAATCAAGACCGCGAAATCGAAAGTGATTTAAGTGCATCGGAATTCCACTGCAATAAGTGCTAGCTGGTTACGGGTGATGGATGCGATGTGTCAGGCCATGCTGGTATGCGAACATCCTCGAACGCAGTCAGTCCTTATGTTCGTGAAACCTGCTGCATCGACCAATAAATTTAAGTAAGTCCTACTCCCCACGTCCCGATACGTGGTGCTCAGTTACTTTTAGGGATTTTTGTGCATTAGAGAGTATCATCGACGTATTTGAATCATGAACCTTTAAGTGAAGTAAAATGTGGCGAGTTACTGGAATTCGCTGTGGATTTATGAAAGTGAGATGGACATGAAAATTGATGGCTCAGCAATTTGGGGATAGCCGTTTGTTGCGATGGGTGTGATTGAGGTGGGTTAGCACCTCCAATGTTTAATAACTGAAACGCGCACTTCTTTTTCTCTCTGTCAGGAATTAGCGAAAGTCGAGTGTGTGGTCGTTGTGACACACTGAATGATGGCATTGACGTCATGCTTGATCATCGCACGAGCGTTGGTTTAGCGTTTGGCAATTAATTCGAATCTCGGAGATTTGCAGTGCGATCATGCCTAAAGATGACTTTTAGCAAAATGTGCAATGTTGTGCAATGTCGTGGACAAATTAGCATTGTATGCACCATTCAATCACTCGTGCCAGGCCTATGGCGCATTTCCTACGAATACGCGTTCCACGACATGCTGGAACTTCGAGGCGGCAGGATCCGATGTCATGACATAAATAAGCACACAACTAAAGGCACTCCTGACTTGAGGCACAGACAAGCTCA